TTGAAAGTTAAGCCTGAGTATCTCCTCCTGAGATTAGTGGTCAGGTTGTCTGCAGGGTTTTATTTTTCCTCAGTAGGGTAGATACTTTGGCATAGGGTAGAGTTGCTTAGGACAATAGAGGAAAATTTAATGTTCCTGTCAGTCACCAACAGGATTAGAGAATAAATATTTAAAGAATATTGGGTTAAAGGGTCATCAATGGTTAGCCTACCCAGTAGAGCCAAAGTTTTAGCCTGCGTGGGAATTTGATTGACTCCATTAGATTTGATGAATATTTGGTGAATATGTGCATGAATTATAGAAAATAGGAGGACCTTGTAGATTCTTAAGCAACTGAGTAATATGTAAAAATCGACAGTTTAAAAGATTAACCAGTTTTGCTGACAGAGAAAAGAATTGTGTCTTTGGCCAAGAAAAGAGGAAAATGGTACTTCCAGAAAAAGAAAGAACTGTAAACAAATAATGAACTCTAGTTAAGGTATAGATGCCAGAATACTAGGGGAAATATCTCTCATTTATTTTGAAGTGCATAAAAAATAAAATAAACAATAAGTATTTGCAGTGTATCAAAAAGTAATATGGGAGCCAGCCCAGTGGCATAGTGGTTAAGTTCCTGCGCTCCACTTCAGCAGCCTGGGGGTTCACCAGTTCAGATCCTGGGCGCAGACCTACAGTCAGCTCATCAAGCCATGCTGTGGTGGCATCCCACATACAAGAAGCAGAAGGACTTGCAACTAGGATATACAACTATGTACTTGGGCTTTGGGGAGAAAAAACGAGGAAGATTGGCAACAGATGTTAGCTCAGGGCCAAGCTCCCACCAACCTTCCTCCCCACAAAAAGGCTGCAGAGATTAAAAAATAAATAAATCAGCATGGATTGATAAATGGATAAAGAGATGGATGATATGTGGTCAAGTCACTGCAGTAAGATGTTAATGATGGCGTGTAGGTGGTGGATGGAAAATTCTTTCAGCTTTGCTTTTTGGTAAAATTTTCGTAATAAAATGTTGGAGAACCAAAGAGGAAAATGGAAGTCTAGAAAATTTTGAAGGAAGAACCAGTGAGATTTAAGAGAAGTGATGTTTATGGTAAAAAGAACGTGAGTGTTGGAGTCCATCAGCCCTAAATTCTGGTTCTGCCTTATCTGCTTGTGCACTCGAGCGTTTACAGACGTTGCTTGGCGGTGGCGCTGGGGTTTGAACCCATGCACCCTGGTTCTAGAGCCTTGCTGTCTACCTTGCTGTGCGCTATGATTCAAGCTGCTAGCTCAGTGTCTGGTTCATGATGGATTTTCAAATCATAGCTGTCGCTTTTAGTGAACTTGGGTTGTAGAGTTCAAAGAAGTCCGAGATAATGTTTGATCTGGATTTATATGACACTGTTACACAAGCTGGAAGGTAAAACTGTGGAACAGAGGTGGTTAATTTTCTTTTAGATAAGTGGAAGTAGAGATTTTGATATGAACCATTTCCTGTATTTTCCTAAAGTTCAGGAACTCATTTGCTCACTAAAAATGTGAGAGCATTTTATGTGCTGAGGGCTACTCCACACCAGCAAACAAAACAGACAAAAATCTCCTCCCTCGCAGGGTTATAGTTCCAAAAGGGTTTGAAGGATTAATGACCCTTGTATCGCAAATGCAGAATGACTCTTCACGGGTGGCACCGCAGCCGTTCACCAGCAAGAGCAGAAGGTGGTGTGTTCACAGCCCTTTCCCGAGGTCCCTGACGTCGTGCCGCATAGGCAGTGGTTCCTCTGCTTTCTCTCAGGCCCATCTGTGTTCTCGTTTCCTCTGCAGTTCTTTTGACTTCCATCTGGAGTTGGTGGAATGGCTTATATAAGCCATTTATGATTAAGTTTCAAAATAGATGTCCAGGCCTCTAAAATGGCCCAGACAGCAACAAGAATAGTTGCTTTTCCTAGTGTATACAGAGCAGAGAAGACTAGGCTGAAATTCATGCTATTCCATGTAAAACAGAGACCACTAAGATCTCCTTTCTGGGCTCACACGTCAATCCTGTAATTTAGCCAGACTCTGACTTCAGCACCCTTGCAGGGTGTGTATTCCTCAGCGATGACACTCATTCCAGTAGGGCTGGAGGTCAGTCACTGAAAGTCTTACCGAGCCAGACCCTCCTCTGCTTCTGAGTCATTTTCTGGTAGAGCAAAAAGGTTGTCAGGGAGAAAGTTTAACTCCTTCAGATCACAAAGCTCACTCCTCAGAGTAATAGGGTGGCTCTCTTAAGTCATCCTAGGGGGATTTTGGTAATTCTTTACTTGATATTTTAGATAATGAGTCCTATATTGCGTCTGATAGTAAAATGGAATTTGAGAAAATGTAGTGTATGAAGAAAAATAATATCCTACCTTGGCCCAACCTTGAGGAGTTGTTTTAATAACGTATAGATGGCTAAGAGATTTGCAAAATGTTGTTTGTTTTAGGAAAAAGAAAATGTTTATGACACCACCCCTTTGCGGAAATCTGACATCTGGCAACTTCAGCCCTCTGGCAGACGGCCAGAAAATAAGAAAGAGGCCTCAGAACACATAAAAAAGAACTGTTGAAAAACTCCAGCACTTATGCTGTACTTTACCACCACGGAAGAGTTTTGTTAGCCTCTCATTTAGGGCTTGTTCCCTTTTTATTTCTCAGGGAACTTTGAATAATTTTGGTGGTGTATTATAAACACAGATTCTAAACAACAGTCTAGAAAGAGGGTAGAAAAGGTGACAGAAGAGATGAACTGATAGCAGAGGGAAGGCTGACGTCAGAAGAGAAAGACCTAAAAGGTGTATAGTAGTGATATTGTGTGTTCCAACACGGTACAGCACTGGGTCATCTTAATAATGAACTTGGGTCCATCAGCCAAAGAGTAAATCATGTCCGGTGTCTTCTACTGAAGGAGGCAGGCGGGTATATATGTGTCTATTTTTAAACATGGTCAGAATTAATGAAGTTTTGGCGTGTTGAAATGGTACGCTGTGTAGTGTTTATATACTTGAAATAGCACATTCTCTGGTGATGCCGCATCGATGACGCAGATTTGAGCTTGTAGCTATGGGAATGATGTTTTATAAGAGCTGCTAACGTTTGTTGAGCACCTGCCGTAGCAGCCCTGTTCTAGGTGCTTTCACACGATTAGCAGTCTGGTTAAGGCTTTGGAGACAGACAGATCTGGGTTCCCATTCCATCTCTGACTTACTGTGTGACCTTGGACAGATTATATCACCTCTCTGAGCCTGTGTCCTAACCTCCAAAATAGGAACAATAATGTGCGATAGGGTTGTTGTGAGGACTCAATGAAGGAAGGGCATAGTATAATGCATGGCACATGGTAAGTGCTCAATAAATATTAGGCATTATTATTATTTTTATCATTATCCTCATCCTTTTGATGGTCAATATGATAGTATTATTACCTCCATTGTTCTGAACAAGGAAACTGAAGCCCAGAGAGTTTAAGGAATACATCCAAGGTGAAATAGCTAATAAACAGTGGGGCTGGGATTCGAACCCTAGTCTCTCTGACTTTAGTAGTCTAGTGTGTTGTATGCACAGTGTGCTGCCCTAATTGTAGTGATTCCTACAGTTAGGTTCTTTTTAATACTTAAATATGTGGTCAGAGAGGGCAGAAGATGTAGGGAATATTACTGGCCACTCCTCTTTTCCACTGTGGACTGAAGTCATCTCATTATAGAAAAAAAGTTCAGTAACATAAAGATCAGCTTCTTTTAGTCAGTAGTACAAATTAAGTATGTAAAGTTTGTGTTGCCTGATTCATTGCAGTCTTATAGGTACTCCACAGTAATATACTGAACTATTTACTGTATGCCTGATGTGTTTATCCACATCATTGTTTTCTTAGATTATAAACTTGACAGAGCTTTAACTATCTCTTTTTTGTAATTAGGCACTTAGGGCTTTTTGATGTGATTATGGTCATGTGTGAGATGAAAGTTAGGATCCTCATGTCTACCAACACCAAACGAGTCCTTGAGGTAAATAAAGAATAGACTCGGGGCCTGGAGAGCTTCAGCTGCTCCTTGTAAAAGACTAGGGTGAAATGGAGCGCGTCATGGCTGATGGTTGACAGGTGGGCATATGCCCTCCATTCGTTTCCTCCCTTTCCGTTGCTCAAACACGTGCTTAGGCTCCCTGGCCACACATGTCAAGATAACGGACACATCATCTTATGACAGCACAGACACTGCAGCAGCACAAGGATACCTTGCCAGGGAGGGCCATAGGCTTCTTTGAACCGAAACCACGTACTTGATGTGGTATAGCATACTAAATCTTGTCTGGAGGCGCCATCTACGTAGCCTTTTCTTGTGCTTTTTGTGGAGTTTTACCTTCCAGTACGTTTTAAATCTCAGCCATTGGGCCTGGTCCTACTGCTGTTTTTCAGGTCAAGTTACACTTTTTTGCACACCCAATCTCAGGACATAGGAGCCTGAATGCCCGCAGTCGAATCCTGGCCCTGCTGCTGTGAACTCTGTGATCTTGGACAAATTGTTTTCTAACTTGCTGAGCCTCAGTATCTTAATCTTTAAGGTGGTTGTAGGGAATAAATGAAATGCCATATTTAAAATCCCTACTTTTAAAATACCATATTTTAAAAGTACCGTGTTGCCTGGTTCTTTAAAAATGTTAATATCCTTATTGCCCTCTGCAGGCATATTGAAAAGTCTGCATTTCCCAACTTGCATCTTTTCTATCACTCACAGGTATAGGTCACTTTTCTTTTTTTTCAGTTCTGGAATGACTTTGAGAATCAAATGAAAGATGTATGAAGAAATTATTATTTTTAAAGAAATCAATGAAATAGTACTTTGATTTTTTTTTTTAAGTGTAAAGTACAAACTTCTTATTCACTTAGCCTTGACTTGATTATAAGTATCTTTGGATCTTAAGTTTTACTGTTCTCAAGATATAGACCTATATTACAACGTCTTAACTGTTTGTGCTTTCCTGTTTCTTTTGACCTTCCTTTCTAGGCTGTAGAGCATGGAGGCTGGCTCGGTGGTCCGAGCCGTCTTTGACTTCTGCCCGAGCGTATCAGAAGAGCTGCCGCTCTTTGTGGGAGACATTATTGAAGTGTTGGCGGTGGTGGATGAATTTTGGCTGCTAGGAAAGAAAGAGGATGTGACAGGTGAGAGTCTCATAATTCCTCATGTATATAACGGACCCTCCCTTCTTTCCATATTAAAAATAAAGGTTGAGTGGGAAGCCCAAGTCAACAAACTTCAGAAGCCTTCTGTATTTTCCATATGTACTCAGACTGGGGTCTCCGTCAGTGAGGAGAGAATGTCTGTTACCATTCCATCTCTCTTCTTGGTTCCTTCAGGAGGCTGAAATGGTGTGATACCAGCTGCCCCCAGCCTGGTTTTCTATTCTTGTGCTTCCCTTCCATTCCCAGGTCTTTATCCTTTGTAATCAACCCTGCTATTTCTCTTCTGAAAATATGCATTACTCCTCTTTTCAGAACCCCTGTTGTTTACGATTGCTTTTCGCTACCAGTTTTTATCTCTGATTTATGGGACATAAGTCACTCTCCACCTTGTTTTCTCTGGCTGTCTTTTAGCATTTTCCACCCTTTCATTTTTCAAGGGAGCGCAGTACATCCTGTGCACTCGTTCCTGGATCCATGGTCGGCCCAAATTTATTGAAGCTGCCCTCTGCCCTGGATGCACCTGCTTCCCACTTTCCGTGCATCTGGTTTCCTTCCTTCTATTCTTTAAAATATACATTACCACCAGTTTTTTCATTAGTTAGCTTAGTGGAGGGTGGAAGTTTTTCCCCCATACTATGTACCTATGTTAAATCCAACCCTTAACTTAGATGTATTTCTATAAGACATAACTTACATAACTTAGATATATTTATGTAAGTCTGGGCTGGAGTATGTTATACAATCCTTAGAACAGACTCTGTTGACACTTAACTCACATTTGGGAAATAATAGATTATTTCCCAGTAGAAATGATATCTCAGCTGAGAAAAAAAATGATGCGTAGGAGTTAGCAAAGCAAAGAAGATAGGCTTGCTCAAAGGCCCTGGAGTGAGAGAAAAAGAACATGGAAGGACGGAGAAAAGTTCAGTATGGCATGGATGGTTGAGGAGGGGGAGACAGTGCTGGGGAGACGAGTAGAAGCTGGATCACAGAGGACAGAGTATGTCATGGTAAGGAGTTGAGGAAATGGAAAACCATAAAGGTGCTTTAAGCACGAACAGGTTTGCATTTTAGAAAGCTCACTGCTGTGGATCGAAGGCTGATAGGAAGGGGCCAAACTGAAGGCAGGAAGGCGGGATGGGAGGCCGTTGCAGTAATCCAGGTGAGAGTTGCTGATAGCTTGGACCAAGGCGGTGGGTCTGCAGATAAGTGGACAGGTATGAGAGGTATTTAGAAGGTGGAATCGATCAAACTTCCTTATGCTTTCCAACTGGCAGACCCTGTCTATCTACTACTACCTAATAAAACCGTTACCCATCTTGAGAATCAAAAGCAACCTTTTTCATTCTTCCTGAGCCATTCTCTATCTTTGCTGAACTTCCATAGCAATTTGTGTACCTATATTGTGACACTTGATTTCAGAGTTGAGTTATTGCTTATGTCGGAATTAGATTTTATGTCTGAACTAGACTTTAAGATCTCTGAGCTCCGAGACTGTCTTACTCCTTTTCTCCCTGCAGTGCGCCCTGTCTAGAGTAGTACCCAGTAAATGCTTATTGGGTTGAATTGCATTCTCTGTGCATCTGATTTTGTGCACTGCCCTTTTTCTACAATAGATTCTCTAACCCTGAGTATGTACTCAGTGAGTTTTCAATTCAGGGTCTAGAAATGGGCTCGGAAAAAAGTTTTTTGTCCTGGTGCACAGACAGAAAAAGAAATTTCAACATTGGAAATGTTTGCTTTTATTTTCAGGACAGTTTCCCAGCAGTTTTGTGGAAATCGTGACCATTCCCAGTCTAAAAGAAGGAGAGAGGCTGTTTGTCTGTATCTGTGAATTTACATCCCAAGAATTGAACAGTCTTCCCCTTCATCGAGGTATGTTGATGATCCAAAAGTAGACTGTTTAAAATAAGATTGGCGGAGTCCGCCAATTTTGACAGGTGGATCTCTTTGAATTTTTGTAAGTGGCTAACCTCTAGAGAGCCTTCAGCATTACCAAGATAGTGCTGACAACATAATGCCTTATATTTTAGTGGCGTTTTAGAATTCTACAGTATTTTCTCACAAATACATTCTCATTTGATCCTCAACAGACCTGGAGGCAGCCAAGTGAGTATTATTAAGCACATTTTATAAATAATGAAAATGAGATTCAAAGAATATTACCTGCAGATAAGTTTTAGCCTCAGAATGTGGACTTGTATCACCTGATTCTATGTCTTGTCTTCTCTTTCCACTGCCCCATGCTGGAGCCACTCTTCAGACTCTGTTTATCTTTTTTTCCCATAAAAACTGATTTGGTTTTGCTAACAACATTACTATTTATTAATGTGTAATATTAGAGCTGGAATTGTGGCATGGAAGTTAAGAGACAGATGCGAAACAGCCCTATTTTACTACTGTACCATTAGATATTGTTAAAGTGTTCATCAGACCCAGTTTAAAAGGAAGCCGTTTGAGATGGATGGCCCTAGCCAAATCTCAGCGACACTCTGGGTCTCTCTCACTTCTTGCCCTCTGACAGACATACGAACTTCAAAAGATGGACTGTAAACCATTTCTACAAGTTTACTTGACTAAGTCCATACATTTCTGCACAAGCACAGAAACCAGTAGTGTTCCACAAACTGAGGCTTATGATCAGTCTAAATTTTGTGATGACTCAGCAGTCAGCAAAATGGTAGAACTTATTAGACATGTTGTTAATATTATTATGTGCTCCTTTGATGATGGCACTCAAAGGGTAGGCTTAATTTCTTAAACCAAGTACACATATGAGAGAGAGAGACAGCAGAGCAGGGGAGAGGGAAAAACCTAGCAAACTTCCCTAACCCAAAAAGAAAGGAATATTTTGACCTTAATCCTCAGAATCTATTTTGTGAGTTTCTTGCACTTCACTTTGCACTCAGCCTCTGTTCTGTATACCTCCTTGTTAGTCAGTGTTGGGAAGGCAGACAGAACTAGATCAAGATGTTACAGCAGGGAACCTTATCTGTCCCTACGCCCAGCTCTCCCATTGGAGGTCTGTAGTCCATGTCAGGCCAGCCGGAGAGAGTGGAGAAAGGACCGGGGCACAGTGGCTTCCACCAGTGTGCTGTGCAGAGGATGTGGACGGCAGGGACTTGTCCTTTCCTATACCTGGTTCCTGGAGCCAATAGCGGGTGTAAGAATATACTCTGTGGAAATATGCAGTGTGTCTACAGCATTTGAGGAATTTGAAGATGTGGCTTCTGGAATTAGCTTTTTCTGCGTAGTCAAGCCTTAGGTGCAAAAAAGAGATTTTCTGCTGTATCCCTTTCTTGGGAAGGCTGGTCTAATGTATTCTAAACTTGCTTTAAATTTAAAATCCATGTCAGAAATCCAAGGGCCACCTAAGAGATTCGATGCTAGTGGACCTTTCAGTCGTGTCACTTGTACCAAGACTGACTCAAGGTGAGGCTGGGTCCTGGAATCTGTAGATCTTATCTTGACTAGCTTTTAACCAGTTAAATCTAAGAAGCTTAAAGATGAAAGTGGAGCCCAAAGGAAGAGGATGCAGGGCAGGGGCCGTACATAGGAAAAGAGACTAGAAAGAGATGTTCTAATTATCAGTGGTTTTGTCTTGTTCTCTTCTCTGACGCTCTACTGCCATTAAACAAAATGACTATCCAGCTCTCTGTCCTTCTATGCTTTTCACGTCTCTTTTAGCTCATACGTCTTCCGACATGAAACCACAAGCCTCTGAGGGTGGGGAAGTTAGGTGTCCCTATGCAATTTGGCTTTTTCTGGGAAGTTTAGCATGAGACACGGACATGATTTTAATTCCTTTTGTTTTCTATACATGACAATCCACATTAACAGGTTTTAATTGTACTAGTTGGAAACAGAATCACTAAAAAACGAAAGTATTGTTTTATGCCACATATAGTTTATAAGACTCGAGTCTAGGCTTCCAGATTTTCAAGTCTGGTGCTTGGAATGGCGCTTCTGCTTCTTGGACTAAAATTGTTTTTTTCCGTTACATCAGTGTCTCAGCTCACGAGTGCTACATTTCCTTTATCCCTGTCCTCTAGCACTGGTAACCCTGTTCCTTGTCCTTTCTTTATTTTTCCTTAGTACCTTCACTGTGGGGTGAAGCCTCTCCCGTTCTGTGTAAATAAAACTTGGGTGGTTTAATATTTGTCAGGAGGGGGTTTGGAAACCTTAAGAGCATGTGGGTCAATGTTTGAGATCTGTTTTGTCTTACCGTGCTGCCTTCAGTTAACTGTTGTTTACTTACCTTTCAGAAATATCATTGTGATTAGTAAGAGAAAAGTGTGTATTTTTAATTAGAAAAGTATGTTAGAGTAGGCAGTGTAGCTTAGGGAAATTCCGACAGCCCTAGATTTAGATCTAACTGCAGGCTCGATAGTGGTGACTTGGGCTGGTCACTTAAGTTCTCTCAGCCTCAGTTTCCTTATCTACGAAATGAGGATAATAATGCCTGCCTCAGGGTACTTGTGAGGATTACATGAGGGTATATATCTAAGGCATCTGGTACAAGGTAAACACTCCGTAAAGACTAGTTATTTTTATTATTCTTAACCTGGGATTCCTGGAGTGCGTACATGAGCTTCAGGCACCTTGTTTCCTGATAATTACATGAAGTTTCGTGTGTATGTCAGTTTTTCCAGGGAGATTCCATCTGAATCGGAACCACCAGTGGTTCTTCCAGCAGGTGTCACCCTTTCTCCTTTTCCTGAAGCTATCCAGTTGTTTTGGACTGTTCCCTATATTTTGAATTATGTTTGAGCTCAGACACATGGTTATCTCTTAGAAGGATCAATTCAGGTGGCCAGGGCCACTGACTGTCCTGAAAAAATTAAAGGGAAAAAAAGAAAGAGAAAAAAGCAAAAGATAAAACCAAAACAAGAGTATGACAAGGAAAAGACAGAATGAAGAAAGAAAAAAGTTAATGGGAGTTATGAAATGTCACTAACGATTGCCTTATTTAACACAGAATGCACATCCCTTGCCTGTAAACTTGTGTTTCTAGGCCACCTCCCCGCCCCAAAAAAAGACCAATGAAAAATAAATTGATAAATGAGATTTATCGGTCAAAGCACTTGTGTCATAAATTGGTGATGTCATGTGTGAGATATCAGGATTAAGGTTCTAACATGGCTCATATGGAAACCTAAGAACAATATGCAGTCGGTCTGCATAACACACATAGTCCCCTGGTCATTAGGATGCAGTGAAGGACCTAATACTGCAGAGTCAGACTCCTTATATTCAGTTCTAAGAAGACTTGCATTCGTTCTTAAAATCTTATTGCTAATGCATTTCTTGTTGAATAAAAAAGTCCAACCAGAAAAAACAAGCAGCATGGCGGCAGGGATTAATTGTGCGTGAGCGGAAGGCTTGGGCTGACCCTAAGTGTCCCCACGCTTCCTATTTCTCTCTTCTCAAAATCTGGTCACTCTGTTCTGGGAGTTCCTAATACTGTTGTCTCAGAAGTCTGGAAATGACCAGTAGGTAGCCTCCATTCCTAAGGAATCCCCTAGGATGCCAGGGGAGTGATGAAAATGAGAGACTCATGCAAAACACTCAGTAACAGGGCAATAAAATAAGGGTGTGAACCAAAATTATCTCTGAAGTGCTTTTCAGGGTCTAACTTGTGATCTTTAAAAAATTCACCTTATTATATAGAAATAACCAGCAGAATGACAGTCTGCCAGGTAATAAAGCTTATCAACATAGTCATCTGGCTGAAAATTGATAGAAAAACAAGCCCCATTATAAGGGTTTTGTGGAAATCGGCAAAACAAGGAAAATATTGTAATTCTGCAGCTTTAAGAAAGCCAGTTCATTTCAAAGCCAGTAGAGTGGGCGTTATGGCACGCTTTTATCCTTCGTATTCACTAAAAGGCCTATTGTGTCTGAACAGTAGCCATGTCTCTGCTGAGTTCCCTCTGTGGCCCTGATGGACTGGCCTTAGAGCTAGTGGGAAAAAGTCACTCCTAAGTCTCAGGACTCCAAGCTCTGACCAATGGATATTGAATCATAAATTAAAGAAATACAGAAATATAGGACCAAGACCCTATTTTTCAGGAACATCTAAGCAAAACAGTATCAAATTAGTGAAAATGTACCGAGTGCCTACCACCAAGTGCAGAGTCTTACGTTAGGTGCTGTGTAGTTAGTATATAACAATACCAGTGTCAAAATTAGTGATATAAGCGATCATTTCTTTAGTAGGCTACAGATGACCAGGGTGAATGTGGGCTTCTAAGGTTTTTAGAGAAGCATGCCAAGGTTTCAGATGGAGAGGCTTGTATAGGAGCCAGTGTAAGCCCCTTTGTGTGGAATATGGTCTCATAGGTGAGATCATATTGGACAGCAGGGGTTGGACGCAGGGGGCCCTTACGGCTGGATATGAATGCCAGGTTGCATTGGGGTGAGAACATGAGAATAGCCTTTTGGTAGCTTAGTAACTAAACCTCTTTAGAAAGTATCCAGAGCAAAATTTTCTACATATTTCAGGTAACGGGAATAGGATTCTCAGACAAGAAGCCTTTGGCAGTAGAACGACACCTCATGCCTTGTGGTAAAAGTTTGAGCATGGGAGGGATATGATAAAAGTGGTACATTTATCTTCCTAGTTTGGTGTGAATCATTTGGTAGACTGGAAGAGACGGTGTCAGGGGCAGGGTTTAAAGGACTGAGATGATGGGAGTTGGACTAGGGTGGTAACAAAGAGCAAGTAATGAATGGAATAACTATTTTGAAAGAAGTAATTAGAGGAAAAAAGGAAGTTAGCAGTGTGGAGCTAGTTTGGGAGGGAGGATATAATTAATTAGTTTGGGAGTGGGAGTTGAAGACTCATCATCATTAGCAAATGGACACTGGGTGCTTGCTATGGGAAAGGCATTGTACCAAACTCTTAAAATACAAAAGAGAAGTGGTACTTGACGTGACAGAATCTATACTTCACTAAGTCAGGTAGGGCAGGTTTAATTTCTTTTAAACATCAAGAGTATATAAGTTGAGACCCTGAAAGATAATCTAGTTTGGTGTTGTTGGGTTTTTTTTGGTGAGGAAGATTAGCCCCAAGCTAACATCTGTTGCCAATATTCCTCTTTTTGCTTGAGGAAGATTGTCATTGAGCTAACATCTGTGCCAGTCTTCCTCTGTTTTATATGAGATGCACAGTGTGGCTTTGTGGCTTGACCGGCAGTGCTAGGTGTGCACCTGGGATCCACACCTGCAAACCCAGGGCTGCCAGAGCACAGAGTGCTGAACTTAGCCACTACACCACTGGGCTGGCCCCAATAATCCAGTTTTCAAATATTCATGCTATAAAGCGACATATTATTTTGCTAGTTACTGTGCTATCCTGGTCTTATTTTACGTGGGCCAGGTGCATCGCATTTCTTGATCTCTGCTCCTGAAGGGAAAGTTGACTTAGGTGTTGAGTAAGAGAAAAATTAAAAAAAAGATTTAAACTGATAATCCACGAAATGCATAGTTCATAGTCAGATAATTAAGAGTTTGTTATAAAACAATTACAAAACTGTAGAGTAATTTTTTAACTGGGGCAAATCCTATAAGACTGAATTTTAATTTCATTTTTTCCAGAAACAGTGTGCCCCTATCCTTTCTTTACCTCAGCTTCTTCAACAGTGAGACAGATGCTAACTATTCAGCTTCTATTTTGTGAAGATAAGCTGAAACACCAGGATTGGAACTATTGGTTATTTTCAAAAGCAAAAGCGCTGACTGTTAGAAGATTCTTTTTAAGATTTGATTATGTTGTATTTTCAGGGTAAGGATAGTTCAAGAAGGCCTCTGGAGAAAATAAATGAAGAGCTTATTGCCCACACCCTGTACCTCCAACAAAGAGCCCATTCCTGAAGACTTCTTTCTTTGTTCCATATTTGATATTGAATAAAATTTAGTGTGAGAAATTAGATCCATCTATTCAAAGGACCATAGTGGTCATGAATATATTCTTTATCATTTATAAACCAATCCAGTGGTACAGACTTGAAAAACGTTGTTTATAGTAGCATTTCTTAAACTTTTTGATCTTAGAATCCCTTTAAACTCTTAAAAGTTATTGAGGGGCCAGCCCGGTGGTGTAGTGGTTAAGTTCATCCGCCCAGGTTCATGGGTTCGGATCCTGAGTGCAGACCTACATGCTGCGTGTCAAGCCACGCTGTGGTGGTGTCCCACATATAAAGTGAGGAAGATTGGCACAGATGTTAGCTCAGGGGCAATCTTCCTCACCAAAAAAAAAAAGAGAGGGAAAAAAAGTTACTGAGATCCTAAAGAGCTCTTGCTTATGTGGGTCTATTGATATTTACTGTATTAGCTACTAAAACTGAGAAATTTAAAAAATACTTATCAATTCATTTTTTAAAACTCATTAAATATTAACATAAGTAACATATTTCTGTGAAAAATAACTAGTTTTCTAAATAAAAAAATTAGTGGTAAGGGAAACGTTGATTTACATTTTTGCAAATCTCTTTAGTATTTGGTTTAATAGAAGAGAGCTAAATTCTCATATTTGTGTCTATATTCAGTCTGCAGTGATATGTAGTTTTGGCAGAAGTATATGAAGAAAATATGATAGTTTTGACCTCGAAGACCCTCTGAAAAAGATCTTGGGTACCCAGCCCCAGGGTTCCACAGAACACACTTTGAAAACCATTGGTTTACAGGAATGTTCACTATGTTTTCACTAAATTGTCAAAATTCGCTAGATTGTCCCTAAATTCACTAAATTGTCAAGAGTGTTTGTGCCCTTAAAACTCCAGGTGTGTATTTCCTTGAATTTGACAGATGTTTAAAATGATGAGTTCCACTGTTAGTAATTTTCTGCTGGGGTGATGCCTGAGGTCATTATCTTTGCTTCTCTTTCTTTAGGTGACCTCGTGATTCTCGATGGTGCTCTTACGGGTGGCTGGCTGCAGGGCCGAAGCTGCTGGGGTGCCCGGGGCTTCTTCCCATCCTCATGTGTCCGCGAGCTTTGCCTGTCCTCACAAAGCCAGCAGTGGCACTCGCAGAGCGCCCTGCTCCAGATTCCTGAATATTCCATGGGACAAGCCCGGGCGCTGATGGGGCTTTCTGCGCAGCTGGATGAGGAGCTGGACTTCAGAGAAGGGGATGTGATTACCATTATTGGAGTTCCTGAACCGGGCTGGTTTGAAGGGGAGTTAGAGGGTCGAAGAGGCATTTTTCCAGAAGGTTTCGTAGAACTTTTGGGGCCCTTGAGGACTGTGGATGAGTCAGTAAGTTCTGAAAATCACGATGACTGCATTATTAACGGTGAAGTAGATACCCCGACAGGAGAAGAAGAGGGCGCGCCAGAAGAGGACGACGAGCAGCCAGGCACCTATGGAATTGCCATCTACAGATTCCAAGCCCTGGAGCCGAATGAGCTGGATTTTGACGTAGGCGATAAAATCCGAATTCTGGCGACCCTGGAAGATGGCTGGCTAGAAGGATCCCTGAAGGGCAGGACAGGCGTCTTTCCCTATCGGTTTGTGAAGTTATGTCCTGAAACAAGAGTGGAGGAAACCATGGACCTACCACAGGAAAGCAGCCTTTCTAAGATCCCCGAAACTTCCTTGGATTGTTCAGAGGACTCTTTTGCGGAGGAGGAAAAAGAACATGAATCTCACGAGGAGGAAGCAGAGGAGTCCAACTGTGTTATTTCGGAAACATCCGCTTCTCCCCCGGATCATCTGACTTTGGAATGTGAAGTCCAGGAAGACTCTTCCTGGGATGAGGGCCCCTCAGCAGGGCCCCAGAGAAGCCCAGGTGTGGGGCACGAAGAGCTCCTTGCCAAAGACTCTTCCGTGAAGGATCCTTCAGAGGTAGTCAATGGTGTTTCCTCGCAACCTCAGGGACCTTTTCATCCCAGATTGCAGAAAAATCAGTATTATTCTACAGCAGGAGGGAGCCACGCCGGCTCGGAGCGGTCCTCTGACCTTGTTCCTCCAGAAGCAAGGACTAGAGACTACTCCAGCCTCCCTCCCAGACGAACGTACTCCCAGCCAAAAACCTTTCAGAAGCCGGTCCCGCCTCTTCACGGCAGCTCTTCTGTTCCAGCTTCGAGGGTAGTCAGACCCAACCAGTTGAGGCCTCAGCTCCATGGTGTGGCAAGGTGTGCTAAAAAGCACCACACAGCCAGAGGAAACGCTTCCGGCTTTTGCTCTGCGGCAGAGAGAGCAGAGATGAAGCCTGGTCCACAAGACAGGGCATCCGCTGTGGAAGCGATGGCACTTTTACAGGGAGATGGCAACAGTGACCTGGACTCGAAATTGACCCAACAGCTGATAGAGTTTGAGAAGAGCTTGTCAGGGCCCGGCACAGAAGCAGATAAAATTTTGCGCCACTTTTCAATCATGGACTTTAACTCCGAGAAGGATATTGTCCGAGGTTCCTCAAAGCTCATCACGCAGCAGGAGCTGCCCACGAGGAGAAAGGCCCTAAGGCCACCGCCACCCCGTCCCTCTACTCCAGCATCCCCTTCTCCCCATTTGCTGGTGGACCAGAACCTGAAACCTGAACCACCCTTGGCAGTGCGACCCTCTCGCCCAGCTCCCCTGCCTCCGTCAGCACAGCAGAGAATGAACGCAGCACCCCGAAAGCTCCTGAGGTGTAACACCCTAGAGAAGGAGGGTCCTGGGAATCTGGAGCAAACTTTGGACCAGACTTCCCAGTGTCCTTTAGTATTGGTGAGGATTCAGGAAATGGAACAGGACTTGGATATGTATAGCAGGGCTCAGGAAGAGCTAACCCGAATGCTGGAGGAGAAGCAAGAGGAGTCATTGAGGGCAGAGACCCTTGAGAATCTGGAGTTCTACGAGAGTAACATCGAAAGTTTGAATATGGAACTCCAGCAACTTAGAGGTAAGTGATGGGGAAATGATATCTACTTGTTTCTTGACACCCTCAAGTCCAAACAACGGCTGACCCATGTTTGTTAGGGATATGTTACTATCTGTGATCAACAATTAAAAAATGGGGCCAGCCCAGTGGCGCAGCGGTTAAGTTCGCACAGTCCGCTTCTCGGCAGCCCGGGGTTCGCCAGTTCGGATCCCGGGTGTGGACATGGCACCGCTTGGCGCGCCATGCTGTGGTAGGTGTCCCACATATAAAGTAGAGGAAGATGGGCTGGGCACGATGTTAGCTCAGGGCCAGGCTTCCTCAGCAAAAAGAGAAGGATTGGCAGTAGTTAGCTCAGGGCTAATCTTCCTCAAAAAAAATAAAAATAAAAAATGGTCTGCTTTCTCATTACCTAATTTCTTATTCTGTCTCCACAATGAAACTGCTCTGTCTCAGTGTAGCCACAGTGTAGCCTCCTGACTTCGTTTGCTGCTCAGATAAAGCAGCTCAGACCTCATTGCCATCCACATCTCTGCGCTGCTGTGCCATCCACAGCAGTCATGCAGATGGGAAATCCTTAAACATTACTTTCCTTAACCAGGCTCTGCTAAGGACTAAAGACTTCCAGGCTAAGACTCATGAGAAAGTTGCATCTTGTATCTTTGTGGTCCAGGGACTAGGTTTCAATAATAATGATTATTATAATAGCTGATATTTGTTAACTTACTGATAGGCATTTGTTACCATTTGCTCACACACAGAATCTTCACAGCCGCCCTCAAGGTACTGGGATAATTCACATGGCCACTTCATAGATGAGGAAACTAACACTTGCAGAGATTAAGTAACTTGCCAAGGAAGCTGGAATTTGAGCTCATGTTGTTTTTTTATTTTGCTGGGAAAGATTCGCCCTGAGCTAACATCTGTTGCCAATCTTCCTCTTTTTTCTTTTCCTCCCCAAAGCCCCAGTGTGAAGTTGTATATCCTAGTTTTAAGTCCTTCTAGTCCTTCTGTGTGAGCTGCCACCACAGCACGGTGCTGACAGACAAGCGGTGTGCGTCCGTGCCTGGGAGCCGAAACCGGGTCCCCTAAGCGGAGTGCACCAAACTTTAACCACTAGGCCATCGGGGCTGGCTCTGAGCTCGTGTCTTTAACTGCTACAGTTTACTGCTTCCCACCTTGCACATTCAAAAATTCACATCCTGTCACTTGACTTGAGGTGACCAGCCTCTGGAGACTTCATTCATACTCACCAGACTCACAGGGGAAATCCCTTATAAAGTAGGAAGAGGAAGAGAGTGAGGCAACAGCCATTGTCTAGGACTCAAGGAGAACGTGACTATGTGTCACCTTTGGCGTGTGTGCCGGGGAGCTCTGAACCTGCATGTCATCTGGAAGGTGAATAATAAAAAGTAGTGTTTGGATCTAGCAATGGCAGGACACTAATAAAAGCAGGAGAATGGTGGCCCAGAGACTGGATCAAGATGGCAGACTAAGTACACATATCTACCTCCCCCTCTACTTTAGATCTCTAAAAGTGAACCAAAAAAATATAACAAAAAATTCCAACAAGAAAGAGTATTATAAGAAGGCCGGAAATTGAGTAATTTTCTGAAAGATGGAAAGCAGATGGTGTTACAGAAAGAGAGGAAACCTCTAAAATATGCTCAGGAGAGGACTGCTGTGCAGGTGGGCACAGTTCTGAGGGAACTCCCACCTCAGAAGCACGGCAGGAGGAGGAGGTCTTGGAGCAAATCCAGTGTGATTAACTAGGGAACAGTGAAGCCGCTGGGCCCCTGGGTCACCTGCTCTGAACAGGGATAGCAGCAACATTTGCACGAGGACGAGCGCTTAGACACGTCTTCAGAAAAGCGTTCATTTAACACGAGTATCTGAACTTTTGGGGATTGCCAGGTACTGTGATGACTTCAGAGTGCCTGAGAAGGAGCTCTAAGGGAAGCTTGGCTCGGCACTCCATTCCCAAAGCCCTAGCAAGCTCCAGGGTCCCCCATCGCCTGCCACACCTACAAGGCTCGAGAGATGCTTGTAAGCTGTTCCTGCATTAGATATACAGGTGGCAGGAGAAAAGTCTCCCAAATTCCAGGTAGCAGGAACTTCTCAATAATGATACTTTTTAGAATTAGTAGTGTTCCACCAAAATGTGATGTCTTCTATGCTTAAAAACACTGTGCAGTGTTTTTAAATGGATGTATGGATTAAGCAGCTGGTACTAAGTGATGACATTGGGAATCTTTCTTATTCAACTGACCTTCTTTTTCAAGACTAATTTAATAATTCAGCCAGTGTTCTTATGTTCTTACTGTGGTTTTTTTTAACTGCTAGAAGTTTAACACTGTGAAAGACCTACAGCAGGTAAGGAGAGTCTTAGGAAGACTTTGTTTATTTGAATTCATGAAGTACAGCATTGGCTATGTTAATGTTGACTTGCCTGATTTTCAGTACGTGTATTGTTTATATCTATTGCTGATATGAGGAAGTTACTTATTTCTTACAATCACTGACACTGCCTCTTAAGGTCATCTTTTTCTGTCATCATAAAGAGTATGTCCAACAATCGAAGCAGTCCCTCAAAAGAGGAGGAAATCAATCAGTTTGAGCACTCGGCTTTACTTCTCTAATCCAGTCTTGTACAATCTCTAATTTTGAAATTTAAGGCTTAAGATTTAAAGAACTGTTGAGACAGAATTTATCTAATTCTGATTAATATTATATTTAGTTGTTTATATGCCTCACAACGAGAATTTTGACCTAGTGAGAAGCCACTCTGTCTTAATCAGTGTGTCATTTCCCACACACCTGCTATCGCGTTCTACAGGTAGTATAGATCATTAAATACTTGACGAACTGAATTTAGTTTAACTGAGTGAAATTGAGTTGAAGTTGCCAGCTCTACCTCCCAGAGCTTTCACAGATCTCTTGTCTCTGTTGTTACTTTGAACTTGGACGACCGGGGAGCTGGGGACCATCAGAGCAGAGATGCCAGTCCCCCTGTCAGACACAGTTAATGGGCAGCAAAATAGCCCAGTGCTGTGCCAGACCCAAAATGAAGTTCTTTATTATAGCTACTGCTCCTTCTTAAAACTCTGGGATTGTGAAGTCATGGGGATTCATTTTCCAGAAGCTCTTTTTTTTTTTCCAAGTCTGATATATGTTACCTATTATGGTTTCCTGTTTCATGAAGGTATCTTTCAGCTTTTTATTTTCTTACATATGGTATGCATAGTTGTTTTATAGTCTGTGTATGATAATTCTAAGATATTAAGTCTTAGTGGGACTCTCTGATGTCACATTGTTCTCCTCCGTGTGGTCTAGACCCTTGTGTGTCTGGTTATATTTTACTATGTGCTAGTCATAGTACTTGGAAAATTCTCAGACCTGAGATGAAGGCACCTGACTCCAGAGAGGATTTGCATTCGTGGTCAGCTGATGTTTCCAAATTCCTGAAGAGTAGTAGTCTTTAGGAACAAGAAATTAGAACTTCTGGTGATTCCTTAAAATTATAAATTATTCTATATTTTTAAAAAACTCTTCATTTATGTGTTCTTAAATAATAATAGTAGTGATCATAATAATCAACAATGAATAATTTTCCTGTGTTAGGATTATACTAAAAAGTTTCAGAGATTGTATATATGTGTGTTTATATATATTATTATATATACACATATATACATATATATGAAATAAATGCATGGTTTCTTATTTTGTGAACCACAATATTTTGACAAAATTATATATTTTAATGACACTAAAACTTCTCTACCTGTTAAAAGACTTTCTAAAGCATTTTTTACTTCATATTTTAAAATAATTTAGATTTATAGAAAAGTTACGAAAATAGTACAGAGTTCCCATATACCCTTCACTCAGCTTCCTCTGCCTTAACAGCTTAGATTATTATAGAATATTTATGAAATTTAACATAGTAAACATTTGATAATATAAAACATTAAAAGAAGGAAACTAACACAAAGTAAATGTTAAATAAAAGCCATTCAAAATTTGTAAAATAATACCCCCAATGTTTAGTATTTAAAAATTATTCTTTTTATAGTGAAAAAAACTTGTGTTTAGAGATAGCTGGCTGGACTCAGTTTAGTTATTCCCAGTTTTGTTGGCAACATCCAAAGCATCATAGTCAGGAGCCCGCAGATCATATGCCTTCTTCTCTCCATCAGGCCTGATCAGGGTGTTGACCTTGACCACATCAGTGTCACAGAGCTTCTTCACAGCCTGGTTGATCTGGTGCTTGTTGACCTTGACATCCTCAATGAACACAAGTGTGTGTTGTCTTCTGTCTTTGTGGCTGATTCGGTGGTCAGGGCAACTTGACGGTGGCATGGTGGTCAAGTTGTTTCTCCTGGGGGCGCTCTTCCCAGGATGTCTGGGCTGCCTTCCGAGCCACAGTGTCTTGGGCTGTTGGAAGGTGGGTGGTGTGCGTGCACACCTTCTTTTTTGTGTGGCTGTGGACGCCTTTTTAGCTCTGCTTTCTTGGCCTTCAAAGCCTTTGCTTTGGCTTGGGCTCTGGGAGGGGCAGGGGCTTCCAGAATTCTTCACCTTTGGTGCCATCTTCACGAAAAAAGCTAAAAGTTATTCTCAAAACACAATTTTAAATACACAAAGTATTAGTTGCTCTATCTGATGGTCCTGATCTTTGTTTTGTGACTAACATTCCAGACATAGAAAAAAGTTTCCATTTTGCATTGACGTGGGTTGGATCGTTAAGAGTGTATGCAAAAGCATGTTCAGGTGGGGCCATTGGGGTGCATGTTGCTTCATATAAGCTCATTTTCTTTTTTAACAATGAAAGTGTTTTGTCGTTTGCTCTGATTTTGGCTTTGCCATTGGAATTGATATTGTTTTTACTAATTCAAATTTTAGACAATAAATTTGTGACAAGATTCACATCTCTCTTTGCATTTCTTCTGTTAAAATATTTACAAAGAACTATAGTCTGTAGCAAACATTAAACATTGGGCAACCATTTTTGGATAGCATTCAAA